GCACTCACTCTAGCCTGGGCAACAAAGTGAGACTCTGTCTCAAAAAAAAAAAAAAAAAAGTGGTTTCCAGACCTGTGAAAGGCAAGAGATATTTAAAATAGTGATATATTTATCATTATTGCTAAGAAACTAACATTAAGTAGTTATATAAGGTGAATAATGGAGATGGGGTGTTAGGTGGTTAAGGCATAGTTAAGATTGATTTCTTTAAATTACAAGTGTACTTTTTGTGGATTATAAATTTAAGAGGATAAGTGACAAATTCTGGAGATAGAGAAAGAGAGAGAGAGGACTCTCTTAGGAAGTTATCTCAACTATGTGAGAAAGTGAACTAAGAAAATAAAGCTAAGAGTGGAAATTCCTAAAGTAGAAAATACATACAATATAATGGATGATAAAATTTAATTTTTGGTAAAAACTAATAAAATTGACAAACAACAAATTTGGTGGAGCAAAAAGAATGTATAACTTGTATCATGAGTAAAAAGGAAACTATCATTATAATTTTTTTACACATCAAAAAGATTACAAGATAACATATTTGATGATAAACTTCACACTTTTGATTAATTGAACATATTTATCAAATCTTGGATGAACATGATTTATCATGACTAACACAGAAAATATAGGAAATCTGATATGTAGGTAGTATCTTATAACCAAAGAAATTGAAACTGAACCTTAAAATTCCTCCTCCCCCAAAAACTTCATAATGAAGTTTTGTCACCAAATAAAGTACATTCAGGAAAATCCAACATATTCATTTTATAAGAACTGATTTTATCACCCAAAGATATGAATGTAAAGATGAAAATAAAAAAAACTTCTAGAAGATAACATGTGAGGATATTTTCATGACTTTGAGGGAAGAAAACGCTTCTTTAAAATGAAACTATAAAAGCAAGCTTTAAACAAAAATGATAAATTGGCCTACATTAAAATGAAGTTCTGTTTATTAATAAATATTAATGCAAGAAAAAAAGGTAAGGGAAGCCATGGAGGTGAGTACATAATTATAACACATATATCAAACAAAAGGCTACATGTTAATATATAAAGAATTACTAAATAATAAAAGAAAGACACAGATCCCAATAGAAGAATGGTTGACAGACTTGAAAGGTACTGCATAAATGATATCTAATTTAATATAAAGATATGAAAAGGGACACAATTGCATTAGTCATCAAGGGAGTACAAATTAACCCAATATGAGATACTAATGCCTACTCCCCTGAGAATTGCTAAAACTAATGAAGTTATGACTATAAAGTGACATAGAACAATAACAAACTATCATGTGTTTATGTGAGTGACAATTGTTTTAAAACTCACTTGGGAAACTGTGGAAAGTTTACTACTAAAGATAAAATAGTAAAGTAACTTTATTGCTAAGTATACACTACAGAAATTTATGTACATATGCACCAAAATATTATGTGCCTTCAAGAATGTGCTTAGTAATCACCCCAAATAAAAACAACCAAAACATGTATCAATATTATAATTTAAGTAAATTTCAACCCAATTTTAGAACAACACTGCACAAGAATGGTTAAACTATATCTACATATAATCATATTGTTTTATAAGATCTAAAAATTCTTTTAATGGTGGGATGTAACAGTAACACTGGGATAGATGAAAGGCAGAATTTTTTTGTTGCTTACAACTCTGAATGGAGGAAGGCTAAGTGGAAAGCCCACACAGCAGTTGCAGCCCAGGACGGAGTGACAGCAAGCTGGAGCTGTAGGAAGAGTTCATACATGGCAAGTAGCAGGGGTTAATTAGGTTTTGTGAACTCCCTGTTGGTTTTCTAATTCAAGTAATTTCAGTGGGCTCTGGGACATAGGAGTTGTCCCTCGTTTTCTGGTACCTGGCCCTGTGGTGATTAGGGCACGTGCATAATTACTCAGAAGAAGAGCACCTGATAAGAGAAGTGGTTGTAGTGCAGAGTTAATCAGCTGCTCAAGAAGGGGAATTGACTGGTCTCTAGCCAGGACCTCAAATCTGGGTCAAGATGACTTAATTAAAAAAACAACTAAATTGTGCCTGGAGTTGGGAAATCTTTGTGTGGGAACAAGTGACACAAAAACTTAAGGGCTCAAGCTCCCTGGGAAGACAAAGGTACACAGTGGGGGAAGAAGCAGATGGCGCCCCCTGTCCTGGCTCAAGTCTGTGCTGACAAGAAGGGACCTTGAGGGGGCAGGCAGCCTGATGCTTTGTAATCAAGAAGCTCCCAGGTCACTGGTGGCAGTGGCTTTTGGGTTCATAAAGGTAGAAAAGCTCTCCAGCAGCTCAGGAGCCTGCTGACTACCAGAGGCATGAGTGAGGAGACACAAAACCCCCACCCACCCTTTCCATGGGACTCCATGTTTCTCAAGGATTGATCTCTGCTGATATCTTGCTCCTTGTTCTGCTCCACAACTTCTTCCTGTGGAATCTCTGGTAGGTTCTGGCATTTATCCCTCAGAATTACACCTGAGCTATGTTTTATTTCATGTAAAACTTTTCCTTCCTTCTAAGACATTCTGGCAACTGATGTGTCTAGTCAGACATCTTCAGTCCTCCTCCTTAAATTATATTACATATCTGAATTACCATGATATGATATTTAGTAAAAAAAAAAAAAAAGAAAAAAAAAGAAAATACTTTATAAATCATTTATACAAAAATAAATTAACAAACAATATTCATATAGTGGTTTAGAAGTCAAGATATTTACTATTTCCTTTGTGGAGGAAGGCAGAGGTTATGATGGGGAATGGAAACCCAGTTAGTTAAAGTTAGAACTTTTGGGGTCAGGTATAACTCCTCTTGTTTATTTGTGCAATGGTTCACTTTTCCACAGTCTATTAAGCTGTACAGTAACATACTTTTGTGTGTTAGGTTTTTTCCTAACAGAAAGATTATATATGTATATATAATATATAGTGAATCTCATATATATATATGTACGATGCTTGTATAGTCAATCATTTATAAAATTTAAATAAAGTGTTTAAAAGGCTGTATTTAACTCAACTAAATATAAGTTTTACCATCAAATATAGTACCTACAGAGAAATCCAATGTATTCTTTTTATGAGAAATGATTTATTTTTTAAAAAACTGCTAATTTATTATCTCCTCCAAATAGAATTTATTATAAGTAATTAGGAGGCGAGTATAACAAAAAGGGTAATCCACAGGAGAGTTTGTTTTTCCCATCAGTCTTGTATTTAGATAAAAGGCATTTAAGTTTCTTGTAAAATGACCATGATAATTATTACAGAAATCTTTGCTAGAAGAGAAAATTAGGTAGAAACTAGAAATGGAGAGCAAATGTAAAATCATTAACTGAATAAGTCATAATAACCCTTGGGAAAAAAATACTTCAATGACTCATAACAACTAATGGCAATAATAAGCATCGCTTTGTCTAAAAGCTTTATTAAGAGTAGCATTAATCTCATTTCATCTTAAAGGTGGCCCAGAAAAGAGGGAAAGAAAAGATGGCATCAAACTATAATAGCCATGGATGACCACATAAGGTAATCTTCCAGATATAGAGAATACTGCTTTATGAGGATTCTTGTAGAGAACTCCTCAGATGGCAACTAGATAAGACGACATTATATTCTTTTGACCCAGGACAGTCCAGACTATGTCTATTGCTCTCTGTAACCATTAATAGTAATTCATTTCCCTCTCAAAAGTACCCTTATGTGGACTAAAATTATAAGATAAGATTACCCCAAAACAACTAATTATCTATTGACCTCTCTGTTCTTCAAGTTATTGATGTTAAACCACTTTTAACATTCAAAAGCCATTATTAATTTCACCTGGATATAAACCCATATGGATATAACTGATTAGAATTCATAAGATGCCATGACCTATCACTATTATCAGGGATTTACAGCAACAATATCTTCTGATATCCCAAATATCCTAGTGGTAATTTTCAAATTTATTTTCTACTCATAAACTGTTCAGAGCTTCGCACATTAACTAATTATGCCAGGTCTGAAATGATAGTGACTTATTTACTTCTTGGTATTATTCAGCAAATGAATACATATACATTTTTATATTCTCTAGAACTCTTAAAATGCAAATCCATGCTTCTGAGTTAACACTTTATTGGGTAGTAGTTAGCATATCCCTGTAAGTCCTGAATCTTATTTTTTAGTTTGTTTAAAGAAAGTAAATATATATGTAATAATAAATCCTCCAATCAGGTATATAGCTATTAATAGACACGTACAAGTCTTTGATTTTATAATTTGCCAAATGATTTGGAACAAATATTAATTTAATCCCTAATGTAGATATTATAATTTGCATAGACAGAATACAATTAAAAAGTAATTACTTTCTAATTTACAGAAAGATCATAAAATATTTTAATGTATGTGTAATTGAATGTCTAATTATATCTTTGTATTAGAGAGATAATCTCCTTTTACAGCTTTGTGTTTTAGCTATAATTTTTCAGCAATTTGAATATTTGATGTTACCATTAATATGATAAAACCATTTCATGAAAGTATTAAAAGTTTTAATCTTAATATGTAATTGCTATGTAGAGCATGTACAAACAAATGACTCATGATTTAGATATGTTGGGGTAAACTGCTATGGATGTAATTGGTGTATAGATTATATTAAAGAAAATACTGTTTGACTATTTTTGTATATATACTTTGCCATGTCAATGAATATGCTTTATTTCTATCTCCTTAAATAAAATCTTTGACTATATAGCAATATTTCAAAATAGACTTTGCCTTTCATATACGTTGAAACATTGCAGTAACCTATTTGATTAGGTAGAAAGTAGAAATAAAAAGATACACAACGTATACATTTCTTTAAAAAAATTCACAATCCCATAGTTCAAATTAAGGTGTATGCAAAGTGTCCCTAATAAATATGAATGGTGATGATTATGAGGTAGTAAGTGTGATGCAGACCATGGAACCCAGAAAACCCAGATGATTCTCTTGAGAAAGACCCAGCCTCGTATGCCCACTGATTCTTCGGGGCTTTTAGCTTAAAAAGAAAATGAATTAATGTTGTCTCTAATGCAAAATACAGCCTTTGAAGGCAAGGCTGTAAGTCAATTGGAACTTGGATTAATTTGTATTCCGAATAGTCATGTGTATTCGTAAATTGAAGTGAAAGTGGCCACTAATCTGAGGTAGTATTTCTATTAAAATCACTGAATTTGATTCTTTATTATGTCTTTCATCCTTTAAGTTTTATTTGGGAAGAGCAAATTTGAGGCTAATATGGGGAGTTAGAAGAAATTTTTCTAAGCATTCAAGGAATTTATTTGTATCTGAGGGCACAATGTAGATAAGAGTTTTTTCTTTTAAACTAAATTTATGAATTTTCCAAGAGTTCTGGTATAGCAAGAAAGCAATCACAGGCAGTATGTAAACAATTTGGCATGACAGTGTTCCAATTCAACCTTACTGGTAAAAACAAGCAGCCAACCTGGACTTCAATTCACTAATGCCTGGTACAGCCATAAACATTTAAATCATTAAAAATGTGATAATTACTAATATGTGAATTGATCTTTGAGGTTTAGAGAGTCCTATCACATATAGTTTATAATTTAATTCCAACCAAATATACAGATGTATATTATCATTAATTCTAGGTTAAGAAATTATGTCTTCATGTGGTTAAATAATTTAAGTATTACAAAATTAATTGCTTATGCATTTAAAACAAGAATTAAAAATTTTTACTCTTTATTATTCTAAATATTATGACATATAGAGCTTCCAATCTGAAAATAAAACTGGGAGTCTTAAGTATCTGTGTAATTAAATCTACCAGAAAGGAAAAATTATATTAGTTCTTAGGGAAAGATTAATTTTAAAAAATTAAGTTCTAAATTATATTTCTTAAATGGTGATTTAAGTAGGGGACATTGAATAATAATATGGATAAATAGCTAATTAATATTATACTAATCTCTTAGGTTTCAAACATCAGATGACAGTATTTATTTATATATTTATAAAACTGATTTGAAATTTCTGTGGGAATAGGTATGATTTCCATATAGTGTTATTTTCCTAAATATGGGTTACAACTTCCTGTCTCTTTGCATATCTTATTTTTGATTGAAAACTCAGTATTTTAGGTAATATATTTTATTGACTCTCAATTCTCAAGTCTCATATTTCCCCCCAAAAAATAATTTCTGTTCCGGTTTTATGTTTATTTGGTGATTTGTTTTTTGGTTTTGGTTCACTTTCTTGAGTGACTTTCTTGGGCTAAATCGATGATCTGTCTCCCTACATTGACAGTTACTGATGCCTCTGCTCAGTTTTTTATGCTGTTTGTTTGTTTGTTTGTTTGTTTGTTTGTTTGTGACAGGACCTTGCTCTGGCTTGAGTACAGTGGTGTCATCATAGCTCACAGCAACCTCAAAATACTGGGCTCAAGCAATCCTCCTGCCTGTGCCTCTAATGTAGCTGTGATGACAGGTGAATGCCATCACACTTAGCTAATTTTTTTATGCTTTGTAGAAACAAGGTCTTACCGTTGCCTAGGTTGGTCTCATACTCTTGAACTCAAGCATTTCTCCTGCATCAGTCTCCCAAAGTGCTAAGATTATAGGGATGAACTACTGCAACTAGCTTTTCTTTCTTTTTTTTTTTAAATAATTTTTCTTTTTTTATTTAAGTCTAACTTTACTTTTGGTTGCCCTTCTTTCCACATAAGTTAGTGATCAGCCAACAAATAACCACAGAGAAGTTGTATTTAAACAATGCAGGCAATAATTCGTCCAACTTCTGTCAATGAATATATTTGCATAAGGGAGCATATTTAATGTTCAAGTCATTTTAAAATTGTCATTGGTATTACTTTATTTTGGTTCCTTTATAGTATTCTGTGCACATTTGGACAGTCACAGAGTATACCTGCAGTTTGTTAACAGGTTGGGCCTTTTCTGTTTCCCATTGCAGAAGTACAAAGAAATAGGCTTTCTGTGACAATGACAGCAATCTTAGGCTAATAGAATGAGCTATTTCCAACCACTTTTGGTTGCCTTAGAGAAGTCACATTCACTGACGATGAGGCTGGGCATTGCTCAGTGTTCTTTGTCAAATGGGGCCCTGTTAACCATGGTGGAGATGCTGCCAGTTCTCATGGTTTTCCCTATCCTGGCAGAAGTCACATTCAAACCAAGCTGGAAGTTGCAAGAGCAAATCTGTGCTGAGTGCCACAGATTCCCACTGTTCTTACTCAAGTTCTGCAGTTTTACAAAAAGGAATGCTTCTCAAATGGTTTATGTCCTTAACTTAATAACTGAGCACTAAAATGGTGGTTGTTGTTTAATTCTTTAGTTTTATAGATACTTGTTGGAGAGAGGACTTTTCGATCTTCTCATTTGGCCATGGCTGGAAGTACCAGCTCATCACATCACTTTTGCAAAGACAAAAGCAAATTGTGATTTTAAAATTAAAATTTGTTCTGCGATCTCTTACGGATGCCCCATAGTGCCCAAATGAGTGGCAATGAGTACATTTGTGTGAGATTGGTATCTCAAGTTTCTTTATCATTTAGACAAATATATACATATATATATATATATATATATATATATATATATATATATATATAAAACCTATGAGTTATGCAGCATTGCCATAGTTGCTGAGTTAAACATTAACTGGAACAATACTATTTTTTATCATACTGTTATTGAAGATAAATTTTCCATGGGAAAATTTCTAAGCTGTTTCCAGCAACCCAAATAACTATATGTCTATGGGCCAACTATTTTATAATATTGTCTCAAAAGTCTTAATTTTCCTACTGAAAAGTGTTGATAATATTACTAGCTTGTCCTTTTAGTACAATGCCTGGACTCTTGTATTATATTCATCTTTGTACAGTTTGTCATTTTTCAATCCTGAGATCCTCATCATTATATTATAGTAAGCATATTATAGTAAGCATATTATAGTAAGATCCTATTATAGTAAGCATATAAAATTACCAAATGGTACCTTGCTAATATGTAAAGGAATATCCCTCCTTTCAAATGATTTGCCACCTGTTTTGTGTATAAAACAATTATAATTTCTAGCACAGAATTCATAACCTGGGTAAAATGAAGCCATAAAAGAAGACAAGGACAATTCGTATGTGACCTCATTCATTTTAGAATGTTTATGTTCCATTTTGTAGTTAGGGGAGTGGTGAAAGGTAGTGAGTTAAACTGCTGAAATACCATTTGCCAAGGTTTTTCTAGGACAAAGGAAGTCAGCATTAGTCATATGCTCACATTTTTTCTTGAAACTCTAATAGTATTTGTTCTTAATTTATTGGAATGCAGATTCTAAATAGCATTTTTAAAATTTACTAGAGCATAATGCCCTAACATCCATTAGGCCACACTCTTTTGAGTGGGATGTAGGTCTTTCAATAAACTCTTCTCATTCTTTGAGTCCTAGGGCAGGCGTGCAAATAGTTGCAGTGATTACACCTATATAAATGTATAATATTTTTCTTACAGAGGCAAGGTATACAAATTTAGACCCTTAACCTTTATACTATAGTTGGTGACAAATATTTTAAAACTAAAACAAACAAAGGCAAGAATAGCTTCAAGGTCCCTAGTTATTGTATCAAGGCCCAGTCATATCTTTTATTCTTTAAAAAAAGGTTGTTTTTATTTTAGGATTATATAGATTCTAATTACAAATGAGTATAAACCAATTATACAATTTCAACTGGAATCATTTCACTTTTTAAGTAAGAATTGTATTCTCAAGGGATTGATAAGAACAATTGTGAAGGAATCACAAAAATCAAATGCCAGGACCACCATCACTGTGATTACGGACCTTGTTTGTCTATAGTTATGATATATTTTTTATTCTCCTATAAGTGATGCATAAAACAATTTTATCTGCCACAAACATCTTTCTTTTTCATCTAATGTTATAATATTAAAATTCTGATATTATACCTTACAGCTAGTGAAAATTTATTCTGAATTTTCTATGTAAATAGTCCTTAATAAGAGTAGTACTAAAACAATAATAATAGAAAATATTTATATAGTACCCACAGGCTTTTGGTACTATTGTAAGAGCTTTACATATATTAAATATTATAAATTCATTTAAAATCATTCCTTATTTTAAAAAAATGTAAATATTTTAAATAGTAGAAATTAAGAGAACATGTTGTAAGATGAGGCTGTGCATATGAAAATCTAATTTTATAATCTTCAATTTTTGAAGTTGAATTCTGAAAGAATATTTGTTTTATCTCCTATATATTATTCCATCAACTATAGCTATAATAAATGTGATGTCACATAGTAATAGAAAACAAATATCTGTTTTGTATTATATCTGATTCCAAAAGAAAACAGACACAGTTACAGAATGTTTAATGAACATATATATCTTTGGCATAAGAAAATATTTTAACCAAATCACACTGCTAAGAAAGTTGCACAGCAATAGTCTGTGAAATATTATGCTATTAAAGAGCAAAATATCAGACTATTTCTATTAAGTCTCTAATGGACCATTTATAAATCACAGTGTCTCTTTAAGGCATATCAATTCAAGAAACCCACAGAAATAGATTTCAAAGGAGAAGTAATAAGAGAATGTTTTGCAAATAAAATCCCTAGGTATGGGAAGGGAAAACAAGAATTGTTAGCAACTAACTTCAAAAAATGTTAGTGTATACAATGGCGTAGAAAAAGATGTCTAACCTATTTCTAGTTTTGTATTAAACTCAAAGTAACTTGCTGCATGTAGCATGAAGAGTTTTACAAGAAATGATTTCCTATTAGTGAGAGCTATTATATATTAGACTGACTTGCAGTTATGAAACATCCTCAGAAGTCCTAAAAATGTGAAAGGTTCATAGCTCTTTTTTATGCTTAACTTATGATTATGCACTAAGCAATACAGTGTGGCCTAGATAACTTTTCATGCTTCATTATCAATCAAATCTATTTAGTGCATATGGTAAGTGGCGCCCTAGCTTGACTAGCTGTGAAACATTAAGAAAAATCTGGAGTAAGTTTTTGATTTCATGTACTCTACAATTAAGGCATGCCAGAGAAAGATCCTGTAAATCATACTATTTTTGTTAGATACCCTCAGTAAACAACTTAACACTTAAAAGTAAAATAAGCATTGAGTC